CTATGATCCCCCCTTTATCGTTTGTTCATCACCTGTCGAAAGAGCCTACGCCAATGACCGGGCCTTGCATTTCCAAACAGAGGTAAAAGTATAGTCTGAGCTTTGAAAAGGTGTGTCATTTTGTGCTTCCTTGCAACAGCTTATTTAGCACCTCAGAGCTGTTGTCCTCTATTACAATCTCTGTCACATCCATTTGAATGGCATTTCTCAGCTGAATTATTAATTTTCACTGGTTTCTTTAAGCTCTGTCTTGGCACTTGGAGAGGGAATGAAATGCTAATTTATTGAGCATATAAAGACTATGTCTGGGGAAAGAAAAAAAGAACTACAACAACAAGATGCCCTGTGGGTGACTAGAAGGCACATCGGCCCACTTTCTCCATTAATGTGTTTATGTGCTCCCTCTCCCTGGGCTGCCTGACATCTGATTAGACATGCATACAGACAGACATACAGGACAGGAAACCACACCTACCAAGACATACACATGTAGAAAGATGGACAGACTCATACCTCTACTAACAAACAGATACACTCATTCAAATATAATATATCCATGTTCATTGATATGGACATAAACACATGCAGGCTACAAATTGAGCCATATACCTACTAGTTTTCTGTGTGCGTACAATGCACCAGGATGCATTGAACATAGGATCAAAAGAACAAGCACAATACAATAACTTCACTCAAACAAATATTGAAGCTCAGACTGACTGTGTGAGGATACTAAACTAGAGTGAGCAATATGTATCCATTAGTGACTTCAACATAAACTCCCTCCCCTGCTAGCTATTTGATTATAATTAAATTACACCAGTCCCCAGGGAAGGAGAGGATTCTCTTGTCTGTGTTGCTGCGCAGTGGGAGTCGTTGACATGCAACGGAAGAAATAACATATTGACAAATTCTAAACACATGCATTTTAATTGTTCAGGGTAAAATGATCCAGGCATAAGCAACGGGAAACAAATAGCAAAACATGCAAACACATACACACACACTCTCCCACACCGTGCATATACTCTTGAGTATTCCTCAATCTTTCTGAGATATGATCAAGGCAGTCTCCCAAAATGCACGGTCATCAGTCATGCCCACTGTCAGAGCCAATTGGATCCTATTGGATGTCAAAGACTGCAGGTTGATGAGGGCTGAGGAAGATACAACTTAAAACAATAATCTGCCATAAAGAAAACAATCAAGCAGCAAACCGCGGGAGAGTCCTCTCCATGTGCTGCCACTTCAAAGACTCTGTTTGTACTTCCTCGGCTTGACAATCTGATTCGCCAAGAGGACTGGGTAGGGTAGAAATGTGAACATTTCGACTGAGGACCCCTGGTGTGGTTTTGAGAAAGCATGGATTTCAATTATTCAGAAGGTAAAAAATTATGTGGCTTTTTAATGTCAGAGGCAGATCCAGGCTGTGAGGCAAGAGAGGCAGAAGAACAGGCTAACATAAACAAATTAAAGAGAAGTCAAAGACCAATAAAGAAGTGGGTAATGCTTGACTGAAGTCTGCAGAGACCAAGTAAAAACTTTCAGCTTTTTTGTGGTATTTTTCCCGATGAGTGTCCAATGAGTCTTTATTAAAACAATGCATCTTCTCTTTGAATCGTGTTTTATACAGAAGTAACGCAATCTCCATAGATTGTTGTACATGAAAGAAAGAACACTTCAATTGGTTTAATAAACTTCAACAGAGATTTTGTTTACTAGTCCAGACAGTAAAAAGGATGCTGGGATGAAACAAAACTGTTAAGATGTGAATAAGGAATGACTTTGCGCCATACTATTGGAGCGCTGATCTTGAACAGAACTAGGCTATTGATAGAACAGGGCCTCATAGCACACACTAGTGGTTGTAATCCAATGCTTAAGGGGGCATTTGGATGCCATTCTCTCTGATGCACAGCTACTGTACAAGTTCAAAAAGAAGGTCTTGACAATCAATGTTTGGTATATTCAGTCGCAAACTAGCAACAACGCTGCCAACGACAGACATTGTACGATTGCATTCAACATATCCAATATATTGTTGAGGACAATACCTCACGAAAATCCTAGTCTCAACATCTGTTGTCCTTTTCTTCTATCTACCACCCAATCAAAAGGACATGGTGAGAAAAAGCCCTTTAAAGAACGTGTAAATTCTGCGAATGAAAGCTAATGCACGCTCTGTGAATACCAAGCGGTGTTAATGAAGTCATTTGTCTGAGAGTTGCCAGGTCTCCCACCATTCCATTCCTCGGCATTCATTAGTCAGTCACTGCCTGAAAACGTCAACCTCCCTCTCCTCGACTCCTACAGAATCTAATCAGCATTAAAGCACATTTCCTGTGTTTAAGAAATATAAGGCTATATCCTGGATGTGCTAGCTATATTTATCCATCCCTGTGTCTTTCTAATAAGGACTGATGAAACATAATGGAAAATAAAGTGTAAAGGAAATACATTTTCACGCATCTGTTACTGCGCTTGCTGTTTCAACAATGCTGTGAATCTCTCTGCTGTAGGCTACTACACGCTGTAGCAGAGATGTCTGCACTGTTGAATTTGAAACATTTTTCTAGTGTAAATACACTGAGAGATGGCCTCAATGCAAACATTTATTCAGAGCTTTAACACCTGGAGAGACCCAATAGCAAACCTTCTCCTTCTCCTGTATTGTTGGAAAGTCTTTGGGATGAAGATGTGTTTTTGTGTGTAAACCACGGAAGATGCTCAGTACAGGCTGCAGTGACAAATTGCTTTCTTCTTAGCAGATGTGACCCCCAAACCTCTCAAAACATTCCTGACCAGTGTGACACTTACCGTTGACGGTGAGAGAAACCTCCTTCTCCCCGGCGCCGACTCGCGGAACCACGGCACGGCACACATATTTCCCAGCATCTTCCTGCCTCACAGCCTTGAGTGTCAGGATGTTCTCGTTGCTTAGTACCTGCCACACAGAGGTCAAGAGTCACTGAATGAGCAGCGAGAGGTCACCTTCTCATTTGAGGCAGCACAAAGCAGCCTATGCTCCTCTTAACGCCTTAAAGGTCACCTCTCTTCTATTATTAAAATCCAATTTGGGACCAGGCTCATATGAGAGAGGGGCGGTTTTGGTCTCCATCTCCAGGCTCTGAAGTTTGACGTATACGGAGTTGAGGAATGAGCCTGGCTGGCAGATCAATTGCATGCCCCTTTGCTCACCTCAACACATCTCCAGCCAGGAGTCAGGGAGCAGGACCGCTAATGAGCCCGAGCCACTAGCTGCCTCAGGATTTTTGGATTAATGAGACTTTGAAAACAACTGATTTGAGCTCAAAGGGCACTGCTTTGTCACCTGAATCTTGCGTGACTGCTGCGGTTCGACTTTTTATAATTAATGAAGTTACTGCTGTGGCCAGCATGATATAAAGTAAATGACATTGAAAGTATAGGCTAACCTGAATGGAGCAATGGATCACAATCTACAGTGTTTTGCACCTAGTCAAAACATAAACTAGAAATTTTGAAAGACATTGGATATGGGAATACTTACCACTCCAGAGCCCCTCTTCATCCAGACGATGGTGAGAGAGGGGTTTCCCATCCAGGCACAGTTGAACACAGCATCAGACCCCAGATCCACCTGTAAGGACTGGGGCTCTGCAGCCATGCGTGGACCAACTGCAGGAACACAGAGATAGTCAGTACAATCAATACAACACCACCAGCACCACAGAACACTCTATAACACAGTACCATCCGGTCAGCTACAGAATGTATCTAAATAGGATGCATAACATTGGGTGGTTAACAACAGAAAGAGCAATACAGTACTAGCACTCACAGTAGACGTCGACATTGCGGCTGATGTTGGTGCTGCCCAGAGGGTTGGTGACCTCACAGGAGACTGGCTCAGTGAAGAAGGAATGGTCCACAATGACCTCATAGGTGTCACCAGAGACCTCCTTTATCACATTGCCTCCTTTGGCCCACCTGTAGTGAAGGACAATACACAGAGAGAGAGAGAGAGAGAGAGAGAGAGAGAGAGGAGAGAGAGAGAGAGAGAGAGAGAGAGAGAGAGAGAGAGTAAGAGCGATAGAGCATATAGAGATAGAGAGAGAGAAGATATACATCTATGAGCTCTCTCTCTCTCGATGCTATCTCGCCATCTCTCTCCTCTCTCTCTCTCTCTCTCATCCTCTCTCGCTCTCTCTCTCTCTCTCGCTATCTCTCGCGCTCGCTCTCTCTCCCTTTCTCTGCATTCGGGTGGTCTGATAATAAACTGTTACTCGCAACTTGCTTTGACCTTAAAGTTGACCTATGGTCGCCTGGCCTATGGTTGTCAGAAAATACTCTGCTAAGGGCCCAGAATACCTGAAGAAGGAAGACCAATATGACCAACACCAGACCAATATGAAGAATGGGTTGCTTCTGATTTTTTTACTTTTCAGTCCCGGTCATCAGTGAGGGATGATGGCACCTGTCTGAAGGATGGGAGAATGAGGGGAGAGGAGGGAGGGATGAAACATTAAGACAGTTTCTCTCCTTCCATATCAATACCACGTTGTTCTCTGAATAAACCATTCCTGTGCAGGTTCTCTGCTGGCTTCAGTATGTTTTTGTGGCAGCCATCCATGCTGTCACATGACGAGTGCCCTAGTGACTGGGGGAGTAGACAGCACGTTCCTCATTAAGACGAGCGGAGCAGAGCGGCTAAGAAAAACGATATACTCCTAAACCCCTCCTCCCCTTCCCCAGAAAGAGATGTGTTTGTATGCTGATGTGGACGAAGATAACCTTTCAACTTTTAACTGTCACAAAACATGTATCTATTTTCTCACCCAACAGCACAGGGTGCACTGTGCAGTATTCCAGGGATAGGGGATTCATTTGTTATCCATGAGTGAAGCCTTGGTCTATGCTTGACTGGAATAGTATAATTTAAATGAGAATAGATTACCTCATTCATTCAGCAAGTGAAGTGAAGCAGCTTTCTAATTGGCTACAGTAGATTTTTCTCTGCTGCACACTATAGGAGCTAGTTCACTGTATGCAAAATGAAGCCTGCTGAGAGCACTGTCAGTTTAATATGCACAGGGACTCCTGTGTTTCCAAAAATATTACAATTAGGGCAGATGGGTGTGCTTGGCTCGTCTGTCCCTTTCTTACATAATTGATCCAGGAGGAGAATGTGCTGGATTCGAGAAAACATATTATTACCGTTACAGTAAGCTACACACAGCAAACGTTCTGGGTGTATACTCCCTCAAGAAAACAATTATGTACACAAAATATTGAATGAAATATTATGATAATGACTACGATAATGATGATGATGATGATGGTTTCTAAATCTCACAACACACTGTCTATGAATATTAGATAAGAATTCACTAGACAATGTCAATAAATGCGCTGATGATGACAGCGATCATCAATGCCCTCTGAATCGCAGTGTCTGATGATGAATGACTCTCCACAGGTTGAGAGTCTATGGTTGATAGAGTACTGGAGGAGTTACAGTGAGTTAAGCACAGAAGTTTGACCAGCAGGTCTCTCCCAAATGGAGTGTGAGGCTGCCAGGGCTGGGAGTTACACAGTGCAGAGAGAGCAGAGACAGAATGCTAGTGCCTGCAGGGAGTGTGAGAGCTTGGCTGGTGTGCTGGTCCCCATCCAATACAGTCCAAACATAGCCAGCTCTGCATCCATCAGACACCTGCATCTCCTCTGGGAGGGCAGAGGGGCCAGCGAGAACTTACTCAACAGCTCACTTACCACCCAGACCTATTCAGGATTTAGGTCACACAATGAGGTGCAAGTCAGGTGTATGCCTCAGGGTGTTTGTGTACGTGTGTGTGTGTGTTTGTGTGTACTCCCGAGTGGCGCAGTGGTCTAAGGCACTGCATCGCAGTGCTAGCTGTGCCACTAGAGATCCTGGTTCGAGTCCAGGCTCTGTCGAAGCCGGCCGCGACCGGGAGACCCATGGGCGGCGCACAATTGGTCCAGTGTCGTCCAAGGTAGGGGAGGGTTTGGCCGGCAGGAATGTGGGTTTGTTTCCCACGGGGGGCCAGTATGAAAAAAACAAAACATGTATGCATTCACTAACTGTAAGTCGCTCTGGATAAAAGCGTCTGCTAAATGACTTAAATATAAAATGTGTGTGCGTGGCAATATCAGTGAAATCAATGTGTACCAGGGAAAGAGCAGTGAAAACCCAACCTTGTTCTCTCCCACTGATATGATTAAGGTGATAGCAATGGTCAAACTGAATTAAATTAAACGTCTATTGATGTTATTAACATATAAAATACATTATTATCAACATGGTTATGTACACCACAGCACAGATTATGTTGCTCATTTACATTTTCTTAATGTTGAATATATCAAAATACTTATTTCAATAGAAAGTAGAGACTTTCATAATGATGTGTCGATGAAATCGCACCCTGATGTTCCTTGAATAAAATGTGTAAATTAAATAAGACAGAAATGTCTCTTGGTTTGACATAATATGACAGAAGGCCCAATATTAGACGAGAGAACAAAACATTGTCTATAGTTTCAACACATTGTGAATGACATTCCAATATACTGTCTGCCATGGGGTAGGGGACATGAGCAAAGATGATGAGACTGTCAGTTTGGTGCCTCACAATTTAAATATAACCAGGAAGTCTGTTTGTCTGGCAATGACATCACAGTATGGTAGATCATCACTGTTGTACCTTCCTTTGAAACATTACTGGCATTAGTGGCATGGTACTAGTCAAAATAGTGTGCACAGCCAAAGTGTTTATGCCAGTAGAGCAGACAAGATGGATTTAATTTGCTGTGCCTGCTGCTTTGTTGTTTTTCTCTCTCGCTATCCTCCTCGTCTGCTGGATGCACTGGGTGGCACAAAGCGAGTCGCAGGGGAAGCACGGTTGAGGAAAAACAAACATTGGCGGTGCCCACAGACAACGTGACGGAAAGCACCATGATGTAAAACCTCTTCATTAGCCACCTCAGAGACACAGACAAGGAGAAGGTAGATGGTAGAACTGACAAAAAAATCATCAAACTAGCAACAACATCATAATTGTTAAAGTGGGTAGAGAATTGGGGATGGTGTTTGCTGGGCGTGGAGAGGGATGTGTTTGTTGTCGAAACTCCTCTTCTGTTGCATCCCGCTCTGGAGCGCCTCTTCTTAGAGTAGTGAGAAAAAAAAAAGTTTTGTATCTTTATCACCAGGGCGTTGAATATGATGTCGATGTATTATGTTTACCCCTCCTCCTTCCATTAGGTAATGAAGATCCCTTAACAGCTCTATTGTTTTACAATTCCTTGATTCACACCAACACACTCAGACAAAAACACAAACTTAATTCCAGCAGTACTTCCCTCCCTATCTAGCCTATGCGGAGTTGCCAGAAAACGCTTTCATCCGGTTTTCAGGGATACAGTATTTTCAACTTAATTCCGTTTTCCCTGAAAAGCGTAAATGGGAACTCCGCTCAGTCATCTTTCTACGCCTGCTTCGTTACGTTACTCTCTATCCTATACACAGAACTATCCCTGAGACACATGTTCTCTCCCCCCAGGAGTTAGAGTTCTGGCTCTGCCTGAGAGATATCTGTAGACTAGAGACTTATTTCATTCGCTTCGTTAAGTGGCGTAGTGGTCTAAGGCACTGCATCGCAGTGCTAACTGTGCCACTAGAGATCCTGGTTCGACTCCAGGCTCTGTCGCAGCCGGCCGCGACCGGGAGACTCATGGGCGGCGCACAATTGGCCCAGCGTCGTCCAGGGTAGGGGAGGGAATGGCCGGCAGGGATGTAGCTCAGTTGATAGAGCATGGCGTTTGCAATGCCAGGGTTGTGGGTTTGATTCCCACAGGGGGCCAAGTATAAAAAAATGTATATGTATTCACTAACTGTAAGTCGCTCTGGTTAAGAGTGTCTGCTAAATGACTAAAATGTTAAGCAAGATTCATAGAGCGGCCAATCACAACAGATCATAGAGAATAGAAATCACCATGTCATTGACTCCTCCTCTGCTACCTTGGCTCTGTCTGTCTGCGAAGTGCTTATTGAAGTGGAGGATGAAATGGCAGAGTGGTGTGCTGGGGATGGATGGCACTCTGGAGGTTGGCAGAGAGGCCATCACTCTAAGGGCTGCCCTGTCCTTGTGCCGTATCTGATTTCCAGAGACAGGGTGTATTAGAGCTGACTAACAGCCACACCGCACCGCTAGCTCCCTGCTCTGCACTGCTGTAACTCTCTCCGGGGGACAAGGAGGGTTCTCCTCAGTCAACTCCCCAGTGGGGATAGGAACAGTCCAACACTCCCCCCTGAGATAAAATAACAAATGGTTATTTATGAGAATGTGTGCTAAAATGAATCGTAAATGAATGAAAAAATGTGATATATTATCACAGTCCTGTGAACAGCAGTGAAGTGTGGGTTCAGACTCAACTCAAAGTGGTATTGAATCCTAACACTAGTGAAACCCTTCTAGAGAGTGCCTACTTCAGCCTGAAGTTCAACCCCCTCCTTCTTTCATCACATTCTCCCATGGTTTCCAAGGCCAAAGGAAAAGTAATCTGACCCACCAAGGCTCCTTAGGACACAGGCCCTGTAGATATGTCAGCGGAACATTGATCCTGGTCCCACTACAATAGAGACGGATTTCCACAGCGATTGTGGCAGAAGACCTACCTTTGGGGTATACCTGCACAATCAAACACAAGTCTTGTTTGCCTTGATATCTGTTTTTTAAAAGGGCAGAATCCATCAAAGGAACATCTCTGTTATGCCACCTGTGAGTGTGTTGTAGATCCATTTAATTTCCAAATACTGCTTCAGACTCAGTGTCGGCCGGGCAATTCCCTTCACTATTGATTTAGTTCCACTTATCTTCCCTTGGTTTTAAAACCCACACAGAAAAGCATGTCTTGACAAATCACCTTGGCATTTCACCTCTTCAAGGACCAAGTAAGATTTTATGAGAATTTATTTTTATCCCCAATCCTCTCTGAGGAAAGGAAACGTTTCTTGTGAGAATTGAAAAACTCAATGTTCCAAATCAAGTCTCTCAGTGTGTGCTTGCAGTTGTCAGGCAGAATCCAAAAAGGATTGCGAAAAAGCATAAGACATGGGTCCAGCGTAGGTTCAGAAGATCAACCCACTCCTTCCACTCAAATGTCCATTGGCCCTGCTGCAGTACTCTGACACCCATGTCCCCCTTTTAACATGAGACGTCGTAACCCTGACAACCTCATCAGATGCAACACAGCTCTTCTCCCACTCAAGGTATCTATGTTCAGGGGATATAGACAACAGTATCTCAAAACAATAGCCATGCAAGTCAATGCATTCAATAGTCTCTAAGTACATGACTGGGAATGAATTTCAACAGACATTTGTCATTAGATTTTTTTCAATATGTCTTTCTGTGAATATTATCCAAATCGACGAGAGATTTAATAGTGTCACGGCATCATAATAATTCTCTGACAGTGATTAATACCATCAATAATGAAGTGCCACATTTGACTTAATGTGAGAAGTTACAAGCTACAAGCAACATCAATCAGACAGGACCTTTGTATATCATTTGAAGTTTGTTTCAGGGTTTCTCTTTCTCATTACGGGGC